AGAGAGGAGGAGGAATATCAAAGTGAAAAAAGTCGAGAGGTGAGGGGGGGGGGCTGAACAGAAGTGTGATTCATAGATGCAACAGAGTCAGGCAGACATAAAGACAGAGGAAATGAAAGATGAATACTGTGAAAGTGGTGGAATATGACATAGAGTGGGGTGATGGTAGTTTGAAGTGAGAAGTCAACTGCCAGTTAATAGACTTTTTTACCGTATGAGTATACGTTGCCCAGGGTGCACCACGTGGAGGTAAGTCTATCCCACACCCCTGAATATATATATATATATATATATATATATATAAACAGAGAAGGTTGCTTAAATTACAGTTCTTTTAATAAGGTGTTCTGATAAAAGTCGCTTATTGAATCGTTAAAACGAACTTGGATTGGCAATCAATTAAACTTCTGATTAATTGTCGCGCAAAGTGCAATTACTTAGATGACAAATCTGCCATATTCGCAAGCGTGTGCAGTTTTAAGTCTGACTTAAAACACACCTAAAGTATGGTTGAAGGCAGGAATATTAAAAATCTCGGTTCAGGCATCATGCGACACATCTTCAAATACTTAGACGTGCAAGACTTGGAGAATGTCCACCAAGCGTTTCCAGAATGGAGGCGAGTTATTGAAGTTCAGTTGAAACAGAGACGCATTCGTCAATTCACGTGGTTGGATGAGGAAATGTACAAACTCGTATTACATCCGTATGCCATTTTTACAAATTCTGACCAACTTATTAAATACTATACAGATCAAAGAGAACTCTCTGTCCCTGAAAGACCAATCGAATCATGTGGGAAATTGAAAATCCTCTTTTTATACCATGAGCTCGATGCTGGCAATGCTGAAATGTGGTTTGATTCTTTCGACTTGTTTAAGGAAGCGTCGTATTTACGACGCAACTTGAGAAGAAAAATACAGCATGTCAGTATTGCAACCATGAATATTCCATCAATGGTATTAAAAGATATTACAAGTAAAGGAAAGATGACTTTGCCGGCAATCTCTCAACAACACATAATGCAAGCTAATAGATTTTCAGAATTCTACCTCTCACGACTTGCCTCGTTCGATGTCCTGTTTTACTTTGTGGATTACTCCAAACCCATTGCGGACGTTTTGACCTTCCTTCGAAGGGCTTTGACCCCACGTCATTCTCTCATAATATCTGTTATTCGTGATGCCAATGACTCAACATTGAGAAATATGGGATACTTTATTAAGCTGATTTCGATAATTGAAGAATTTATTTATAGAAAATTGAAGGATTCCCAGATTCAGTGGAGACTGTGGTGTGTGGAAAGAGGTTGCAATGGGAAACCGAATTTTCGAGAAATGTTGGAATGGTTCTCCACAAGGTGGAATAATAATTGAAATGGAATATACTTTTTTAACGTCTGGTCTAAATGAAATGTTTATTAGCACAATGAAGTCTTTGTTCTCTTCTTTTTATTATTTCCCTCCAGGTTTCTTTTTGTTTCAAGACCATGGGAGGTGTCAGTTGTACGTGACTAGGGTTGCCACTTTCGAAAGACCAGCCCTTGCTAACTGCGAAGATCAGAAGTTTGGTATAAGGATGCTTATGTGACAAATGTAGTTGAATAAGAAAGGAGTGAAAAAGTAGAAGGGAAAAGAATTGAGAATTGGAAGTGAGCGTGATGCGCAGACATCGATCGTGGACCATCCGGATTGTGATTAGAAGGGCTATTGAGAACGATAAATATGCCCACCAACTAGCTTCTAGATGTATGGGACAGTTTGTGTGCATATTTACTTCCGGTAAGGGTACAAACTTTACTGCTGAACTCTTCCTGTGACACCGCTCTCGTGGGCTGGAATTGACGAGTGTAGTTGGTCATTCAAATAGTTGTTCAGACGAGCCTCGTTCACGTAATCCCAGTCTTAATTATTGTGAAAGCATGTGCTAATAACGCGTCATGGTACCATTAACGCACGTGATTCAATCAAACTTTCATTTAGAAAACTCAATGGTGGAAATGAATAAATTGCTCTTTCAACTTAAATCCACTAAGCAACCTTATCATGCTTTGGCGACGGATTATGCTTTACAAAAACTTCCTTAATAGGAAAAAAACAAATAATGTATTCTGAAAACAGAATACCATACCTTTTCATTTACTATATCTTAAAATTTTATTTCATTCATAAGCTGGGTAGTTATGAAAAGGTTAGACTTCCACACTGCTGCAATACTAGCGTATCTTCTCTAGGGAAAGGGAAATCGGAATTAAATACAGCTATTGAAAGACACTTAGAGAGACTAGCGAAAAAAATCGATATTTCCAAATATGATTCGGCTCATATTATTAATATTTGGAGATAAAGCAACGCTTGATAGAAAAGGTTGCATAACCGAACAATTGTTTGGAGTGGCATACGCTCGCATACTAAAAGAAGACCTCGGAAATTTTCGCATCCCAGTAGGAAACAACAGCAAATACTCCGCGACACTGTGCTGCGGATTCCTATCAACGCTGGTTAGCATGCTCGTCTGCTTACATATAAGTTGCTGCGCTTCTATCTACATGCTTTTCTCATCTTAAATTAATTTACTTCAAATGGCAGGCGTTTTGTTCGTTATCATTAGCCATTTAGTTGACATCGGGCTTCACCGAGAGGAGGGGTAACATTAAAGTGGCAAAAAGTCGAGAGGGGGGAGGACGGAAGATTTTTTTAAAGATGTAGAAGAGACAGACAGACAAAAGGCAGAGAAAAGATAAGATGAGTACTGTAGAATTGGTCGACTATGACATACAGTGAGGTCATGGTAGTTTGAGGTCAGAAGTCAACTGCCGGTTTATATACTTTTTGCCGTATGAGTATACGTTGCCCAGGGTGCACCACGAGGAGGTAAGTCTATCGAACACCCATAAAACCCCGAAATAAAATGCATAAAAAAGGAATTGCGACAAATTAAGGAGGTGTAATATTAGTTATTGCTTTCGGCCTACTTCTTTATAAGACAAGGAGCATTTTAAATAGTAGTAGAATGTTCTCCTTGTTAAACACTGATGCATCCTAAGCTGATATTCTCCCTTCATATTTTCAAATTATTTGACTTATTAAGGCTGTACTTGTAACTTTCTTTGGAACCTCGAAATATCCGCCGAGTGGTACTTTTTTTAGTACAATAGTTGAAAAGTCCTTGTCGACTACTAGTGTGATTCGAAGTGATATTATTGGAGTAAAAAGGGTTTGATGGTCAAGCAATGGAAAAGGTGGAGATTTAGCAGGAAAAGAAATTTAGCAGTAGAAGAATTAAGTCATGAAATACGACTTTCTTTCAAAACCCATGAAGTTCCAGGGAATGTGTCAGATCTTCGTTGTATTGTAATGCATCAATTGCAACTGATTAGACAAACGAACTCAACATACAAAACAGCAGGAAGAATTAGCCGCACCCATGCGTCTGGAATGGAATTTATAATGCCATACGACAGTATTGATTCTGTATGTCTTTGTACTAATTATGATCGCTCTGCAAATGAATAGTGCTAAGGCCAAACATCATTAGGCAAAGTGGAAAGATAAACATGAACCGGCTTGTTGGCAACACAACAAACGATCTGGTAATAAACTGCCTTATGTTTGCCTTATCAAAGCACTAATGGGCAGACATAACAAGCAGAACAGTATGTATTTTCAGTCTACTTGCATAGTTACTGCGTCTTCAGGTCACGTGATGATGGAGAAGGTAGCGACCATTGAGGTTTGATAGTAGTATCCCCATAATTTTATGTCAATTCCTATTAATTTTTCTTTTCTAGGAAATATTCCTTGGCAACGACACCAATAGCCACTACTCCAAACAGTGCCAATAAATTAGTGGCACAAGAATGAGTAAAGGCAATCACGTGATTAGGAAGTTAACTGGATCAAAATTGCCAAACAATTAATAGACTCATTAGTGGGTTTATTCTCACTATTCCAAACGCAGAAACTGACTGAAATATCAACTCAAAATGGAAATTTCTATTCTCATATTATTCAAGGAACTATTCAGCCCGCCAGCTTCGTTTTAGTAAAAAAATATGGAACCAACTGGCCGTTCAAGGGTCTTTATTTTCTTCGATGAAGTAATCTTAAGAAGTCATTATGACTTTGAAGCTACGGCAAAATAGCTGAACATTCTTATGTTTATGCTATTTTACTAAAAGACAATATAGGGTATTATTGATACTCAGGTCAGATCTTATGTACTAATAAAACTCATAAATAGAAGTTTACCTTCAGTTCATATTTCTGAACCTCATTAGTCGATGGAGGACATCCTGAAAAGTCTCTCACAAAAACTTCCATTTTGCTGTCACCTTTGTTGACCAGAATTAGCCAGAGTGATTGATCATCCACATCATTGGATCTTCGTCGATATGCATTGATCTCCTTACCTCTGACCACTCAATTTTTCTAAGAGCATTCTGTCTATGAAATATTCCATAGCCAATTCTCTAAAGTTCACAAGTGGCGTTTAATTTTTCAGTTGAACATGCACGTTTCGTGTCAACAGTGAACGGATCGTTTGAATCGGTTGGTGATAGGAACTAACACAAAGATATCACAAACTTTATGTTCAATGGAAAACACAGTTTCATATTTTACTCTGATTTCTAATTATTTCATAAGGATTCTGTACTACAATCCCTTCTTCTGAATAGGAGCTAGTAAAGAGCTAACATTTTGACGGATTCTTGAAATCTTCTGTTTGTAGCTTCTGATCGAAATCATCGACCAGTCCTTCAGCTAAGTGACTTCCTTGTTCATTCTCTTTCGATTTGTGCAGATTTGACTGTGAATCCTTGAATGTGGTTAAGGTTTGAATTTCGATGCACCACATTGGAGTATTAACATTTGACAGTGCCTTGCTGTTATATATAGCCTATACGAACAAAAGTAATAAAGAAATATTATAAATCACATTCTTACCCCCAATTTTCTGTAGTAATTGAAGGTTTCGATCAACCTCTCCTCTTGGGTATTGAGCTCCTTTAAATGAGACCTCGATGTAACTTTAAAATTCATTTCTCCAAATCGGAGATTTCTTTGTGGAGATAGGTCGAGCCTTTTTTCGCCATTTCTACTTTTAACGCTTCCTTGCACCCTTCGCAATAGTTTCTCAAGTTTCTCGTCACGTATACCTCTCATCGCTAATTAGGATGAAGTAAACCTCACCACGATTCTAGAGTTCTTTTGTAACAAAATTTCACAAAAGTACACTGAAATTGCTGTAGTGCCTATTAGTTGTATCGATTAGGTCAATATTTAAATCCCCCCGATCTATAGTAAACTGAAATAAGTTCCATCATTGGTAAACTTTTAGGTTAATAGACTTCATTGGAGAGTCGGGAACTAAATCGAAAATAGGAGTGGATGGTTTGGAGCCTGCCCAACTTTTGACCAATGGTTGGTGTGACTTAGAAAGATCAGTAGAAATATGAGAATTTCACTCTGAGACTACCTTCTTCATGATTACCATAGACGTCAATTATAATGAGCAATAAATGGGGGTTTCAATATGGAAATACCTCTAGAAATTAACTATTTTATACGATTATTGTGATTATATTCGTAGAGCAAATGGAGGCGTACAAGTTTGTCCAAAAGTCCAGAATAAGTTGGCTTTTAACCAAAGAAAATGCATTACTGTCAAGATAAAGTGCCTCGCTAATTTAAATATTTAAATCTATTTTTAACATGAATGCTAATTGTGAAAGGAACGTCTTAGAAACAGTAAATCTCTTCGTTATAATCTCACTAAGACCCAGACAGTAATGGATGCAGAGCGAGGGGCCATAGGGAGTTTAGTTCGGCTTTCGACCAGGCCTTTACCAATACTAGGCTCTACGGCGCTCATTGGAATTGCAGGATTGCAGCCATTTATTTATTTCGAATGGCAGGCATTTTGATAGTTATCATTAGCCCTTAGCTGACTTCGAACTTCACAGAGGGGAAAAACATCAAAGTTCAAGACGGTGGCGCCTGTTTTTTCCCACCCAATGGCTCTTTATACTAAGCAGTCCACATTTCCACCCTTCATACATTTTTTTCACTCTATTCCCTCTCTTTTTACCATGATTTATCGATATGAACTATTTAAAAGAAAATCTATTTTAACTAGGCTTCCATCACTTCAATTGGTTTTAGTAAAGCGTAGATGTTTATCACTTAAAAATTATAATGACCTCTTGACTCAATTGCGAGGGTGACTAATAATATAATGCATCCTGTTCCATCCCCCCCCCCTTTATCTCGAGTTAGCACCTCTACAACATGATCTCTGGTATGGAGGGAGATTGAGAAGCTCGCTAAATTGTTCTTTTATATGTAGTGAATCACGTTTTTGGGTGAATTCATGGGGGTAACTTCATTCCAACCTAGAGCAAGCCGACTGCTGCATGTGAAATTTAACTTAAATATTCACATGACTTGCAATGCATTAAAAATACAGGATTTCCGAACCATTTCGTCATAAATATACCAATATAAGCGGACTGAATAACCATACGACGGCTTTTGGAGCCTTTTGGAATGAATTTATATGAACGAGGGGATGTAAAATACCCGAGTGATTCGAATGGAGAGATTAAAAGAAGTGAATGGCAAAAACCAATTCAATTTACTCTATCCCTAATTGGCTATGCTGTTGGGTTGAGCAGTATCTTTCGTTTCCCCTATCTTGCTCTCAATTATGGCGGAGGTGAGTCTCACACTTATTTGGAAGTCTGTTAGTTCGTTCTTGATGACATAAATTGGAATTGTAGAAGAAACAGTCAAATGGCCTTTTGTGCCCAATTTCAATATTCGAAATATGTTATTTGGGAGTGCCAGAAAGCATTGTGGTTTCGTTCACATTGCTCTAAATACAAGTCAGACGAAAATACTCATCATTGCCAATGATTAATGCTCGTTTATCACGTCTTCTTTCAATGATTGATGATTTTAAATAAGGAAAATGCTTAGCTTACTATCTAATAAGATTAGTTTGCCTAGATTCTTAACCTAATGGATGATTTCGTGTTTTAACAGAACTAGAGCTATTGCTGGTTTGGTGGATATAATTTATTATTATTATTTCAAATGGAAGGCTTTATGATATTTATCATTANATCGTTTTACATATTTTGAAATTAATTTTACTAAACATTTATTTTCTGCTTGAAAAATGTGTTAATGAATTCTGAAACGTGCCATTCATTGAGTAATCCATAGAGAGATTCCAACGGCAACTAAATGAAGTAAAACCAATCTTCAGTTAATGATTGAGGAAAAACTTACAAATGCTTTCGTAAGATAAAGCAACTTGCTTGAGAAGATATATGTAATTTTGCAACCTATTATTTAGAATAAGATAAAGGTTNTTGGCCAGTCGAGTATGTCGGAGAGTGCCACTGTCCACTGTTTCTCCTTTGTTCGAGCTTTAATTTCGTTGCACCTTGAGGTCTGGAATTCTCTTCTGATTAAGGCCTTCATTGTGAGGAAAGACATCGTCCGGTCCATGCATTGCAAAATCGTTGTCCCCTTCTTAGCAAGTGTGTCAGCAAGTTCATTGCCTTTAATGTCACCGTTACCAGGAATCCATTGTAGGACCACTGTTTTGTTTTTCTCTTTCAGCAGCTGATAGAGTTTTTTGCATTCGTTCATCTCAGCTGTTTAGAGTGGCTCTCTGTTTCCAATTGAGTTTATTGCTGTCTGTGAGTCCGAAAGTAACACCACTTTGGTGAATTTCGTATCCAGGCAACATAATTGGCATAGTGCTATCCTAGTGGCCTCTATTTCTCCTTCGAAAGCGGATCAATTGTGTCCCACTGCTGCGTAGAAAGAGAAGAGTTTAGAGTAGACACCTGCACCTACGTTTGCTTGACTTTCTATATATGACCCATCAGTGAAGACTTGGAGCCATTGATCTCCAGGATAGTTGACATTGATTGTCTCAAGGGCCAGTGAGCGCATTTGCTCTGGAGGGGTGTTTGATTTCCTGAAGAAGTCGAGCAGTTGGGTGCAACACACTGCATCAGTGTCTGCTAATGGGTTCATGGGGAGAGATATAAAATAATGGCTAAATGCCCGCGCATTTGGAATCTGATGAGCTCATTTCTTTGACAAAGAGGGCGATTTACGAAAAGGATGAAAGAGAATGAAGTTCAAATAACGGGGAAAGTGCTCGGGGTAGAGTCTCTAATTCATCACTGTCGATGGCAAGTTTGAATAACCACCTAGAAGTAAAGCGAATTTAATAAATTTCCAAATTTTGACACAATATAACTGCTGCGCTTTGTTAATTTGAATTTTAGGTGCGTTTCTCATTGCTTACTCGATATTTGTGATTTTCTGCGGAATACCGTTATATTGGATGGAGTTTACACTCGGACAATTCACTGGCCAAAGTCCCGTCGAAGCTTTCGGGTTCGCTCCACTCTTCAGAGGTAAAGCGTAATTGATCGGTCCCCAACTAATCGTTTATGTTTCTATTAATCTTAAATCTAACTAACTTTAGGTATCGGGTGGTCCATGATGCTTGTTTCTGGCAAAATAAGCATGTACTACAACATCCTGATGGCTTGGACGCTGTACTACTTCTTCCAATCATTCCAATGGAAACTTCCGTGGAATTCGTGCAATAACACATGGAATACACCGGCATGCTTCTGCCACTCTGACAAAGTAATTAATGAATCATTTAATTTCATTGGGTTGGGCTTAATTCCCACGAAATTTATTCCTCTCCCAACTTCCTTTTAATCTAGTGTGCCGCGGTTTTGCCAAGTCAGAATAGAACAAGTTCAACCACTGAATTCTGGCTGTAAGTTTCGTTATGCCATTTCTAATTTGTACATAAAGTAAGAGATTTCATTAATACAAATTTGTTTCAACTAAAGAATTTCATAAATCATTCATTTGAATCCATTGAGACCCGTTTAAGGAAGAGAAAGAAGATCACAAGATTCAACTCACGTTATGGCTTGAAACTTGAAGCATAAATAAAATTGTAATCACTTATTGTTTAAACAAGAGCTCCTACAACATTCTCATTAATAGGTCTATAAAGAGAGTGAAATTGAAATCAATGGTTTCGAATATCAAACGCTTTGGGATAAATTGTTCAAATTAGCTTTGATTACACTATAATTCAATTAGATTCAATTGACCACGTGTGCTAATTAGCGGTCACTTTTATGAATGCGGTAAAATAGATAGCTGTTTTGCTTGGGAATGGTCCACACTTCGAAAAGTCTAAACGAAGTTATTTGAAAAGACCTGCTGTTAAAAGTTTGGGTCTAAATAGAACAATTTACCTATCGCTGAAATTCAAACGACGTCACGTAAAGCTGTTTTAATAACATTATCAGGCTACTAGAGCAATATGTGCCCTGTAATCTATTCACATGTCTAATAATTAATCTCATGCATTAGCTTGAAATGGTCACACTTAACAAGTTAACATGTCAGCATCCCAAGCAAACAGACTTCACTTCCCTAGCACTAGAAGGCGACCATATGAATATGCACCTATGAGAGCATTTCGAAGTCACTTAATTGGGTCGTGTGAGAATGGAAGGGATAATGACGATTGGGAGAGGTTCATGAACAAGTAGTTGGTACGCTTTTAAGTATTCAGCGTTGGTTAATTCTACTTTCCTTTTATTGCAGACATCGGGTGCTAGAATTATCACCGAACATAAATGAATTGGGAGGAATCAATTGGTCTCTCTGTGGCTGCATGCTTGCCTCTTGGATATTGACCTATTTGTGCCTTTTCAAAGGAATTAAAAATAGTGGAAGAGCCGTCTGTGTGATTGCTCTCTTGCCATACGTCTTTTTCATCATTCTTGTTGTTCGAGGCGCTACTCTACCCGGAGCTTACATTGGTTTAAAGTATTATTTTTATCCGGAACTGGAAAAACTGAAGTCAACGAAAGTAAGAAGTGAATTGCTCTAACAATTCACCTCTATGGGCTCTTGAGAGGTGGCTAAGTTTACATTTTGATCGAAATTTTCTCTCCGTTATTGGGGTCCTCATTTATTTCTGTTTGCGAGCTAAATAGGTCGCCTGAAGGCGACGTTTGAGAGGTTAAAATAAGTGTAAAGACGAAATGAGAAATGGCAGTCATCTTTATTATAATCAAGTAACGTCCCTCAATAGAAATAGTTGCAGTAACTTCAATATATGACCTGATTCAGGAAGTGGACCTTTTGAACTCCATTTGGGTTTGGCTTCACCATTGGCAAACTCTTGGCGTGCGCGTATGTACCTCAATTTGTTCCACGTTAATTTTTCTGTTGCCTAACTAACAGACGAACTCTTTTCCTTTATTACCTCTTAGCGCATATATTTCTTCATTCTACATTTTAGGGTAAATATCGCATTTTTTCATTTATTTGTCTACTTATCTAAGGAGTTTGAATGCACCGAAAGGTATCGTTGCAATGATTGAACGTAATTCAGTTCCATATTCCGCCCAAGTATCTACGGCGTAATATTTGTTAGTCCTTTTGGCTGAATTCTAGCATATCATAAACATCTCTTAGATGTTTGGTGTACTTGGCGTTCTGTGCTTAGTTGCGCAACCATTGTTTACTGTAGTGAAGCAATTATCGGTTCACCAACCTGGATATCCATTGTATTATGCCACTAGTCTCAGAGCTTTGGTTTTATTAGACTCCAATAAAGTTACACTTAGACATCGACGACAGTCTCTGTTGAAAATTTGTGCTAATATGGCTTAGCTTATTCAGAAAAACAATTCAAAACTAATTGATACATACTGTAACTCACTACTAGGGAGTATTAAGCTTTGAAAAGGAAGGGAATAAAATAAGGCCGACTCATTTCAAAATGTAGTCTGTTTCAGGTTTGGACACAGGCTGGAATTCAGCTCTTCTATTCGCTTGGACCTGCCTGGGGAGGTCTCATCACATTGTCTTCCTACAATCGCTATGAATGCAAGTATAGTAGGTAGGATGTCTTCAAAAACATCTCGAACTTTTGAACAAAGACCACCACTTAGATGTAATCTGATGACCATTTCTTTGACCTTTATAGAGATGCCCTACTTTTACCCGTACTTTGTGGAGTGACAGGAATATTAGGCGGTTTGGCGGTATTTTCTGTGGTGGGCCATTTGGCCCATTCAATGGGCAAACTTGATATTAGTGATTTCACAAACTCTGGACCCGGTCTAGTCTTCATCGCTTATCCGGCTGCTTTGGTGTATATTCCTGGCGCTTCAATTATCGCTGTTTGTTTCTTCGCCCTGCTATTTACTCTGGGTCTCGGTAGCCAGGTAGTTTCTTTCTAGAATATCAATTATCTAGGAGTATATTGATTTGAAAGCT